TCTACCAGCTACATTTTGTACTTCTTTCCTAAGTACAAGTAAAAGAGGATGTGGGGTGTACACCAAGAAAACAGCAACCAAATAATATAAACTGTTGACACAGTGATATGTCTTGCCTGTGTGTAATTGTGATAGTAAAATGGAAATGTTGATATCAAAATGACAATACTTTAACATGTGAACTATGCAAAACAGCTAAAGTCAAGGAACCATGACTGAAGGTCCAGGGCCAAAAATTCTCCATGGTAACGAGATATGCCAAAGCTAAATACTGAACTCTAAGGCAAAATAAAAAAGGGGAAGTCCATAAAAACTGACAGACTAAATCGCTATCAATCAACTAAACAAGTGAAAAACTGCCATGTTCCTGACTTTGTACAACTACAAATACTAAAAACTTGTACACAACATGTATATATATATATATCATCTTCTCCGCAAGTTTATTGTTTTCTGTTTAGTATTAAATTTAAAATTAAGATCCATTTATTACATCGGTGATCCGTTTATTTGGCAATCGCCAATGGCAGTCAGCAGGGTTTAAGAACATTTGTTGTTCGACCTGTTAGTCAAATGCATTTTGTTAAAATATACTTTTTCACCTTTTTGGTCTTTTGGAAAATGTTGTTTGTGCTGTATTTAGACCCCTCTAACAAGAAATTTGTTTTGCATGCACACGTATAAAAATTGCGGTTTTTATCCAACGCAATCATAGGTTTGAACGTTGTTTTCAATTTAGACTTGTTTATATATATATATATATATATATATAAATATGACTTTTACTAAATCATCTTAAGTCTAAATGTTCAAAATCGTCCTGAGTCAAAATGTTCTCAATCATCTGGAGTCAAAATAAAGATCTTTAAATACCATCAACACAAAAATCTCCAAATAACTAAAGGACTGACATTCCTGATTTAAGACCAGCACAAGAATATATGGTGAGATTAAATCCGTTTTTTTTTTAAATTGCAAATCTTCCCATTTCAATCTCAATCTGTTTTGAATATTGTTTAAAGATTTAATAGCTTAAAAGAGAAAATATACCTTAGGGCTTATGCAGGTATGTATTTCTCTTACTTGAAATGTGAATGATATGATAATATTAAGGCAAAAGGCTTTTAGAAAATGTAAATATTAATTCCATTGTATCAATTTGACTCTGACAACGGTGAATCATAAGGTTATTATGGAGATTTCCAAGAAGTTTACAAAAATGGACCTTTTCAACAGCATATTAGCAAAATTAAAATAGACCATATTCATCAAACAAAATATCTTATGCCAGTCAATGAGATAATAAAATACACTAAATAAATTTTATATTTAATTTTGGTCGGGGGGAACAATATAATCAAAATAAATGTTCTATATCATTTTTCTTTTTGAAACATGGTTTTCAGGATTTTGTTTTATGTTATTTCATTGTGTGTTTTTGTGAAACTGTCTTTGTGTAATTTCTCCATTTTTAAAATTTACTATCACCTTATGGCTTATTCTTCTAAAAAGAAGCAATATTTTTTTAGCATTTAGATTACAGTAAACTTTACATTCTGTAAATTTGAAATGAAGAAATACATATGATTATGGCTTTTAATAAGATAAACTCTTGAACTGATATTCTGAAAAAGAGAATCTTAAAAACTGTCTTAATCCAAAGACCAAATCTCAAACAAAGTGAGTAAAGCAAACAAACAAACAACTAAAGCTTTTCACCCTGTACTGAGAACATCTTAAGGAAGCCCATAAGTCAAATGCAAAAGATTATATACAAGGCTAACTTTTGGTTTGAATAATGCTTTTTAAGGGGGTACCCAACACTTTGACTAAAATAGATTTGGCACATTTAATATATGAAATTTTGACAAAATATTTACTTTGACCTGTTGACAAAAATATAAAAATTCAAGAAATTTGAACCACACAATTTACTGGAATAATTTCTTGGATATATAGCAGTTTGACAAACACTAATTTTGGTCATTTAGAAGCTCAATGTTTCTTTACTTAGCTGATTTTTAAAGAGTTAACTCCCTTTGGTGTTTGTTACCCCTTAAGGGTTAAATATTTGACTGACATTTTGATTATGGTGCCTGATACGCGTACCTTAAACAATGACAAACCTGAACATCTGATTCCTTGTTTTGAACAGTAACGATTACAAATGGTGAGAAAAACCTGTAGATGAGCTCCACCATCACATATATTCAAGGTCAAAGGTTATTAGTAAATTAGGAAAATTCTTAAGAAAATGTTCAGATTTACCATCACTTACCGGCATAGAATAAATTTTACAGGACTGGTCTGACTATAATTTTTTATGACAAATTTATTCAGCGATGATAATTTCCATGGCTATTCTTACAATGTGACTATTTCATTTTTTAGACAGAGATAAAATGGTTGCATTTCTGGTTAGATGTTCTAAAGCAATACAGAATTTCAATGGAGATGTGGTCTACGATACAGTCATCACTAATACTGGCAGTGGTTATGATGCTAGTAATGGACACTTTGTTGCCTCCTATGAAGGTCTCTATTTCTTTTCATGGACAACACTTACCCTAGCAAGCAAACACTTCATTACTAATATTATGCACAATGGAAAAACTATTGCAGGCAATCATGCCGGAGCCAGAGGAGTAACTACAGAGCAGATGACAGCAACACAGAGTATAGTTCTACAACTGGCAGCAAAGGATGAAGTTAACATAAAAACTTATGGAACAGAGAAATATATGTATGGTGATTTTTGGTCTACATTCACTGGTTTCAAAATCTAACAGTTTTAAAATTGTTGAATAAACATATGTGCAATTCATTTTGTATTTAAGTTGTGATTTTGTGATACAAATTACCAACAGACATCTAGGTCATCATACAGTCTTCAAGAAAAGACAGGTGTCTATAAAATATGTCAATATATCAAATTTATTTTACTGGACACTGTGAAAAAGTATGGATAAGGTACCTGGAGTTCTACATAAAGAGACATGGCTTAAACGTACATGTCACAGTATCAATTGATTAAACAGCAACATCATAAAAACCAATTAAGAAACTTTAAGTGCTGCAATTCATCTTATATTCTTCAAAGACTATCACAGTTGTACAATGAGGCCTCAGTAACATCATATTGAATACATTGTGTCCAATGATCTTCAGAAGGTTGTTTTACATGAAATATGTGTACCTTCAACACACAGGTTCAAATATTGTTATGTACCTTAAATCGTAATGAAATTGAAAACATTTATCCACTTTAATAGCACATAACTTTTTGTCATCATTTGAATCTGTTAACACAATTCTTTCATTCTCAACGGGTGTATTTTGCTGTTTTGGTGGAACAAAAGATATCAACACAAAGGATGATATTACCATACAATATATTCTTTCATATGATTTCCATTAACAGAAAAACTCTTTTACTATACCCTGAATTTTTGCATCATTTACACATTTTTTGGGCAAACTGGGTCCCTGCATCCTTAAACTGACCAGCCCATTTTGCATGCTTTGAAATTGATCAAGCATCTCTGTTTTTTGTATTTTATTGAAACCAACCTACAGAAATATGTCAATTGTATCATTTATCCCATTTATCGAATTGTGATATGAAAATCAGCACAATTCAGATATTTTTCCTTTACTCAACATACTGCCATAAATTTAATGCCCAAAAAACGTACCAAGGACACTTTATAACATCGTCTAAAACCAAATATTTTGATGGAGGAAAACAACGATTTGAATCACGATTATTGCAAGTTCTAGTTCTAGATTCTGGTGTAGAAATTCCACAAAGGAACTTACTTTTCGTTATTGTAGTAAACAGACAATTTATAAGATGTTAAGACCACTTGTTTTCTCCAGTTTCTTTCTTATTAACTTCTAAATACCTTTTGAAAAGTAAAATTATCTGTAGACCATATTGTCGTGAACAGATAACAGAGATTGAAGAAGGCCAGTCTTATAAATGGTTAATTTACTACAACAAAGTTCAAGATTTAACAGTTTGGTTTTTTTTGAAATATGAACACAATTTTTAAATTTGAGATCTACAGTATATGATGTGACACAAGGTGGTGTTTCTATGGTAGTTATCCTTTATACACACAAATGCTGATGATACATGTAACACAATACAATTTCAAGATTTTGCAGTTTGTGCTTATTTCGAAATATACATGTAAATGTGTTACAGCATAAACGGACACAAGGCAGTCTTGTTTTACTATTTATCTGAACTACTACAATAGGATATTGTTATCTTTTACCTATAACCCATTGTAAATATGTTAATGACAACATATAAATAGGAGCCTCTGGCCTTTGTTAGTCTTGTATCATTTTTAATTTTAGTTTCTTGTGTATAATTTGGAGTTTAGTATGACGTCCATTATCACTGAACTAGTATACAGAGTTTCTCGCTGCATTGAAGACCCATTGGTGGCCTTCGGCTGTTGTCTGCTCTATGGTCGGGTTGTTGTCTCTTTGACACATTCCCCATTTCCATTCTCAATTTTATTACAATCACTACCAAAGAAATCATAACCAAAGTGATTGAAATCACTGTCAGAAAGATAGGAAAAATTGTGTGCATAAATTCAAACCATATTTTAGTCTTCCATTGAGAGGGGCCTCGGTGGCCAAGTGGTCTAAGTATCAAAAGAAAAAAAAGGTTCATCTACTGTATCATTAGCCTGTCATTACTAGGGTTGGGAGTTCAAACCCAGCATGTGACAGGTGCATTTGACTTAATTGACTAGGATTGTCAGTTTTCCTGCTGAAGGTCGTGATTCTCTCAGGCTTCCTCCAACAATAAAAGCTGACTGCCACGATATAGCCAACAGTGCTGAAAGTGGCGTTATAAACCAACAATCAATCTTTCATTGGTGATTGGTGGAGAAACATATACTTGTAATTCTTTAGAAAGATAAAATATCTATCTCAAAATATAGCACAATTATAACAGGATTTAAAAAAGGCCTTACCCTTAATGCCCACTGCCAGTGACCAAATGCCTCTGCAATGTTAGATCCTACAATGTAACCCATACCACTGAAAAAGAAAATATAAACAATGACATAGCATGTACATGATAAATGAAAACTTAGTAAGGGCACAACACTTCAAAGGATTGCAGGTATGAATTATTTATAGATCAACATGCTTCCTGTTCTCTTTCCCTTCATTAGGATAAATATAATGAGAATTTTCTTCTTGAAATACTAAATTCAGGTACCTCAAGTGTGAAGTCAAAATTCATACTGGTTTACTTAAAGTGAGATTTCTGTAAAAAGAAAGATAACCCAAAGGCTGTATGTGTTGGTATCATCTTGTGTATTTATAGCAAGTAGAATTCTCTATTACATATTTATCCACTTTGTCGTCTTCCTCTTACACTTTTTGAGTAGTTTTGTTGTTCTGAATAGTTTGTGTGTACATTTATTACTGCGATCTTTGAACAACAGACACAAATGCGAGATTTAAGTGTTGTAATCTTAGGAAATGGTACATACAAATAATGCTATAAAAATTTTAAAAACAAGGTTTTATTTTTGGAAACTTATCCCTCCAAATTTCCAATTTTTGGAATTGACAATATTAATATTTGAGACAAAAAAGACAGTCACCACACAAAAGCAGTAGGGTGTGAAATGTTGAGTACAACAGATCTGAAAAGAATCATACCTTATAAATTACTGACCAAATATGAAGTTATTCAGTTCTGCAGTACTTGAGAGATGTGCGACAAAAAATCTTGAGTTCTTTTCCCATTTTGAAATATTCAAAGCATCAGCAAACAGGAAGTAGGTGTTGGTTATATATGATTATGAAAAGGACTCATTACAACTCATCACTGTCCAGCTGTTGTCCAAATGTGAAGTAATTCTGTTCATTAATGTACTTGAGAAATGTGGGATGAACTTATTTATTTGTTGAAGGGATGGACAGAGTACAAGGTGAAAGCAATATACCTTGACTTATATTAATTAATCAACTTTAACAGGCTTTTGTGAAGTGCTTGACAAATCTTTCAAATTTTTAACATTACAGCCACATAGCAAATGTGTATGTTTCTATTTTATTTCCATGCTTTAACTAGCAACATATAATAAAATGCTCCGCAGGGCGCAGCTTGATACGACCGCAGAGGTCGAACCCTGAAAAGTTGGGGCAAGTATGGACACAACATTCAAGCTTGATACAGCTCTGAATTTGGATTTTGATTAAATATTTGACACAGCATAGGTTTCTGACACAGAATGAATGTGGTCTAAGAACTTGAAAATTTTAAATTGGACATTCACCTTTTATGGTCCAATATCCAAAATCTAAATACATGGTTAGATTCAGCATATCAAAGAACCCCAAGAATTCAATTTTTGATGAAATCAAACAAAGTTTAATTTTGGACCCTTTTGACCTCAATGTGGACAAAGTTGATAATGGGGCCCAAATATCAAAAATCTAAATACATGGTTAGATTCATCATATCAAAGAACCCCATATATTCAATTTTTGTTGAAATCAAACAAAGTTTAATTTTGGACCCCGATTTGGATCAACTTGAAAACTGGGCCCATAATCAAAAATCTAAATACACGTTTAGATTCAGCATATCAAAGAACCCTAAGAATTCAATTTTTGTTAGAATCAAACTAAGTTTAATTTTGGACCCTTTGGACCTTAATGAAGACCAATTTGAAAACAGAACCAAAAATTAAGAATCTAAATACACGGTTAGATTCGGCATATCAAAGAACCCCAATAATTCAATTTTTGATGAAATCAAACAAAGTTTAATTTTGGACCCTTTGGACCTCAATGTGGACCAATTTAAAAACGGGGCCCAAAATCCAAAAACTTAATACACGGTTAGAATCAGCATATTAAAGAACCCCAAGAATTCAAGAATAAAACCCCAAGAAATAAGCAATTTATACGAAGTATCTTCTTTTGCACAATACAGTGCAATTGAATATTTCTTGCTATTGCGCAATACTGTGCAATTGACAATTTCTTGCTATTGCGCAATATTGTGCTATTGGATATTTCTTGCTATTGCACAATACTGTGCAATTGAAGATTTCTTGCTATTGCCCAATACTGTGCAATTGAAGAATTCTTGCTATTGTGCAATACTGTGCAATTGAAAATTTCTTGCTATTGCACAATACTTATTATATAATAATTTACACATCCTGTTTGGTGTGTATCTCCTACCATATCATTGTTATTTGCTTTTAAATATAAAACAGAAAATAACCAACTTAAAATGGAAAATTTTAAAAGAAAAAAAAAAGGAAAAAAAGAAAAATAAGGAAAAAAAAAAAAATTCCCCCCCCCCAAATTTTTTGAACCCCCTTATGATTCATCACCCCCAAACTCAATCCCAGCCTTCCCTTTGTGGTATGGTACCTTGCAGTACAATTTCAGAGAGATCCATACACTTGAACACAAGTTATTGTCTGGATACTAGAAAAATGCTTATTTTTGGCCCCTTTTTGGCCCCTTATTCCTAAACGTTTTGGGCAATTACCCCCAACCAGCTTTCCCTTTGTGATATGGAACCTTGTAGTACAATTTCAGAAAGATCCATACACTTACACACAAGTTATTATCATGAAACTAGAAAAATGCTTGTTTTTTGCCCCTTTTTTGGCCCCTAATTCCTAATTTTTTGAGGCAATTACCCCCAAAATCAATCCCAGCATTCCCTGTGTGATATGGAACCTGGTGGTACAATTTCAGAGAGATCCATACGCTTGAACACAAGTTATTGGTTGGAAACTAGAAAAATGCTTATTTTTTACCCCTTTTTGGCCCCTTATTCCTAAACGTTTTGGGCAATTACCCCCAAACTCAATTCCAGCTTTCCCTTTGTGATATGGAACCTTGTAGTACAATTTCAGAAAGATAAATACACTTACACACAAGTTTTTGTCATGAAACTAGAAAAATGCTTGTTTTTTGCCCCTTTTTCCTAATATTTTGAGGCAATTACCCCCAAAATCAATCCCAGCATTCCCTGTGTGATATGGAACCTTGTGGTACAATGTCAGAGAGATCCATACATTAACACACAAGTTATGTCTGGAAGTTACAAAAATGCTTATTTTTGGCCCCTTTTTGGCCCCTAATTCCTTAACTGTTGGTACCATAACCCCCAAAATCAATCCCAACCTTCCTTTTGTGGTATTGAACATAATGGTAAAATTTCAGAGAGATCCATTCACTTAAACTAAAGTTAGAGTGCGAAAACCAATGTGACGCTGGACGACGACGACGCCAACGTCATACCAATAAACGACTGCAAAAAATTTTTGCGGTCGTATAAAAAATGTCAATCAGAGGATGTGATTGTAAATGTTTTTTTTTTTTCTAAACCTAGTATCTAAGCAAGTTCTGGAATGTATTTTGAACTTTTAACCAGTTTAGTTGTTTTTTTCTCAATTCGTAAAAATAAATTTCAATCTTTTGCATAAAGATACTTCTTGTATCATGTCACTTATTTATATCTGGAAACAGAGAATAACCATACACAGTTTACAGATATATAATCTATTTTAAAAGGCTTGAATAGAAACTATCCTGATTTGTGTACAAATAAAAATCTATGGTGTAAATTAAGAAATTTTTGTGTGCATCTATTTTTACTGTTAAACATGTTAAAGGATGTTTACTCCTCTGCTTCATAATAATAAGCTTTTTAAAAGGCTGTTACCAATTAATAGTATATAAATAACGGAACTTAAAAATCAGAAAAAAATGAAGGGTCAGTGTCCTTGTTTTTGAGATATAAGCAATTAAAACTTTGACGGGAAATGATTCTCTCTAGATTTTTCATACATTTAACATAAGTACCTTCTTTTCTTTCAAAAGCTATGAAAAAATAAGGATTTTATACAATTTTCAAAAATGGATTTTTAATCTATATGTAATAAAATTATGAAAAGAAAAGTAGGGGTTAGCGGGCAAAATTTGTTATTGGCACCACATGGACAAAACCAAAGTCTTCCGAAAATCTGACAAAAAGTCAAAAACAAGACAAGCGAAATTCCTTAAGCAATGAACTCAAATCTGATAGTTATCACAGCAATTTCAGAAAATGATGCATTCAAATAATGCTGATAAAATTTAAAATGGGACTTTTTATATTTTGTGAAACCTATCCCATTCAAATTTTTTGCAATTTAGTAAAAACATTGCAAAAATTTCTGAATTTAAGGTATCCAAGACAGTGTATTTCCTGTTCTGTAGGCCTTTAAATTCATTTTAGGTGAAAAGAGGTGAAAACAGAATATTTCCTGAAAAAGATGGAGTAAAAACGAAGTTTCTATAGCTATATCTTTAATCAGTACAAACCTGCCAACAGGTATGGCAAAATAAAATATCATTAACATTCTGGTTCTAAGATCTCCCACAAATAAATCAGCTATCAATGTAGGGGCAATGGTTGAGTAGCTAGCTTCTCCAACTCCAACTGCAGCTCGTAAAACAAAGAACCATAACTTATGCTAGAAAAAATTATTACAAATATAAACTGAAAATCAATCTGTTAATCATGCTTGTGGTCTAAAATTTTAACAGTATATATTGACAACAGTAACTAACTTCACAACTGTTACTAACAGTAGTTTTTATGTTTTATAGATGACATTCACAATTGTGCATTTTCCTTTTCTTTTTTTTTTATTCAACAACATACTGACAATTGTGCTTAAATGATTCATAATCACTAAGTTGGGACCAGTTTCAACAGTGGAACAGGAACTTCTGACCCTTCCAGAGCACCTTAGTTAACCACCTGATTTTTGGTTGGGTTCCTGAAGCTCAATCTTGTAATCAGATCAATATCTGCAGGCATAACAAAAAAGGTCAGACAATTGTTCTATTTCAGTAGGACAAAATGATGGAAATGGGTACCACTATTTGAAACTGCAACTTAAGTGTTGAGAAAAGAGGTAGCTGCACTCATACTTGTTGAATTTTAAACAATTTTTTTTATAAACTAAAGAATGACTTAGCTGAAAATCTTCAAACAAATGAAAATGAGACTATCTCCATAACATAAAACATTATGTACCAAAATATGCTGTGTTTATTTGGCAATGAGACAGTAATCTATTTCACTGAAACAAAAATTCCAGTTTTATAAATGTTCTCTGTAGCTAAAAACAGGAAAAGAAAAAACACTAATGCAGTGCCAGTTGTTAAAATAAGTTACATACCTTATTCCCTGCTATCCTTTTTTGTAATGTAAACTGTTTAAATTAAGACTTAAATATTTAATTTGGAATTTGTTTCCACTTATTGATATATTTTTTTAGATAATGCATGTCTGTACTTGGTGCTTCGGACTAAAAGGTAGCCTGTATATTTTCAATTAAAGTAGTTACATGTTACTATACATATCATGCATATATGTGCATCTTCATATATAATATATCTAATTACCTCCTTGTCAACAAATGATCCTGCTAAAGTAACACATGACCAGAAAAATATGCCTCCTGCCATGATGTATTTTCTTGTATATCTGTCACCAAGGTAACCAAAAATAGGGGAGAAAATCATGTAGGTTCCAATAAATACTGTTTGTAGCAGGCCATCACTTGCACTGCCTAAGTTGTAGTAGTTCTGTATCTGGTTAAGCACACCTAAAAAGTATTTCATTTTCTAGAATAAAATATTGGCATTTTGTGTTATACGATTCTCTTGTTAAAATTGCAATGAAAAGCTGTTAACAATTGAATATACATTTTGCTAAAGGTTCAACTGGTACAGCTATGGACCAACTTAACATGCTCTGAGCAGACGTCACATATTTATAAACATGATAAATACCCCTGTTTCTGAGAATGTTATTCATTTAGAATCTGTTTTGCTACCTTTAAAGCAAATCCAACAAATCAATCAGTTCAAAATAATCAAAGTGATTGGAATCACTCATGGTAGAAGATAAGTATATATATTTGATGCGTTTCCCTGAGTTTTAGTTTGTAACCCAGATTTGTTTTTATCTCTATCGATTTATGAGTTTCGAACAGCGGTATACTACTGTTGCCTTTATGGAAAGATTGGAAAAGTAGTTTGAATAAACTCAAATCATATTTAGGTATGGTGTGTACAAAAAAGAACATTAATATAGCACTATTGCTGACAATTGCATTAACTATATGTCTTTAGAAGGATAAGCACTTTTTCAGTAGATAAAAAGAGCTAAATGTGCATATGTACACAGACATGAGAATCATAGGGAACTATATTTCAGTGTGTACACATTTTGTAGATTTAGTAGCTAACCTGTTCTACTTCTTGTAAGGGAGGCTGGTGCCTTATTAAAAACTTGGAACAATAGTTCTAATCTTTCCAAAAAATAATTGGGTATTAAATGTAGTACACCTTATTTGCTAATATGGTAAAATATATATTTTGGGGGAAGTGAGGTTTGATAAGGAAAAACCGGGGTTAACCCTATAATAATCAAATAAAAATACAAAAGTTAGTGCAAAAGGGAACTATGTGTTGAGGATAAAATACAAGCTTCCAAGCAATCCATTAAGTGGTATACAGACTTCTTGTTTCACGTTGATATGCTCTCATTCTTGACATGTACTTATTGAACGGTTTTTATTATTGTGAATATTATAACTTGGTGAGTATTTGCAATAATAAGAACTCACAATCTTAAATCTGTCACACATATTTGTATGCAGGTTTTCTTGTAATCATGGTAATTGCAATAATTATTCTCAAATTCTAGTCTGTCATGTTGAAATCCCAATAAAAAATGCACACAAAAATTTCTGAATTTACAGTATGACATCTGCATTTTAAAATCTTTTGAAACAAGACATGACCTAACATAGATAAGATAACGTAAATATTTGTCCCTTACTCTCCCAAAAGGGTTACTATTCTGTCCCTATAATTTTATCCCTTTATAGAAGAGTATATTTGTTTAGACTGGATTTATAGCAAAACATGGCAAATGTGCATTTTCTACTTATAATAGTAACCTGCAACATTGGATGAATGAATTGATGTACTTAATTTAATATGCACGTCTTGTTTACTGCTCAACTGACTGAATATACAATCTATTGTTCATCATAATTGAAAGCTGTGATGATCAGGTAAATTCCGTCTAGTTATGCCTCAATGAACAGATTTCTACAGTTAGATTTAACCTAAAATTTAAAAGTCGACTGTCCCTGTTGTTGTTGATCGGCAGTGTCTGCACTACCCTACATCAGGGACGACTAGCCAAATTGGCATTCCTACATGTAGGCTACGAGTACCCCCTTCCAGTTTATAAAAAAATGTCATCAGATCAATGAAACGTTAAATATATGGTGAAATTATCGCAATTAGTGAATAAATTGAAAAGTACATCAGTACAACTCAGAAGTTTTATTAATATTTATATAGCAAGTGAACAGCTTTTCTCAGTTAATGAAGTCTTAAAATGGAAGAATGTGACATATGTGTGGGGAAAACATATGTTCAAAAGTACCAATCAAATAACTACATACAATTGTATTAAAGAAACTCCGAATCAATTGTGGCTTTAGAGAAAAGTAGATTTTGGTTTCTGTTTGGCATTTTACTAGAAAATTATTTTCACACGAGTTTTCACATAGCTTTTTTCAAATTCAGTATAATTTTATTCTTTAAATGTGCATTTACATTTAATTTCTAATTTTTATCATGTTTTCTTTTACAGGGACTGTAGTTTTATTCCTTTAATGGGCTTCTAACATTGTCTAATTTGCAATGTTTATCATATATATATTTTAACTAATAAATTATATAAATTAAAAAAAATTAGTTGCAATTCACTTCACTGAATTCACAAAATCCGCAAATTACAGATAATTTCTATGTATATTTCACGTTTCATTCCCGATCCGATGATATTTTTTCATAAACCAGATGCAGGTACGCATAGCCTACAAAGGCCAAATTGGCTACTTGCACTCATGCAGACACTGCCTTGTTGATCAGGTGTTTATATAGGTACACAATAGATTGCAAGCTCTGTCACTTTGGCAGAAAACTGGGCATCCCAATTTTTAATGAAGTGCAATAATTAATGCCTAGTATAATGCTATAGATTATAGCCAATATAACTGGAAAATGCACTTTTGACATCTTCCTGCTTTAAATCAAGTCTAAAACAAATATATCCCTCTGTAGAACAGTAGATAGGTAATCACTCTATGCAGGTATACATGTACACCTTATCGCTATTTTCTGCCATTACTGGACATCACACAAGTTCCTGTACAATTTTGACGTCATAATAGAAAACATCTGACACCACAATGGAAAAGTGATTGTTGTATGACTTCAAAAGTTCGAGCGGGACAGAGTCAAGTGGGAATAGCGATAAGGTGTATTGTGACCATATTATGGCATATAGGGGGTTTGGTCCCAACCTGTTTAATAAAACACCTTCTTGAATCTTCATTTACCTGCAACAGTATATCTGTCCATATAATTCAACAAATTAATGGTGAGAAGTATTGCCACTGTGACAAAAGCTCGTCCTTTACTTATGTCAGATGTTGTCCCCGACTGGATGGTCGGTTCTGGTGTGGTTGTCACGTTTGGGATCCTGTCATCTTCGTTTATCGTGTTGTTCTGGACTATCGGCTCTGTATCTGAAACATCAACAGGCATAGCATCGAGCTGAAATGTATCGTCAATTGGTGTAATTACTAAACTCATTTATCTATTAATGTTTACAAAAGTTTGGTGATTCATTGGTTTGTGACAGTTCAAAAGAAGTCAACTGATTTTTTTTGCGTGAATGACCAGGAAGTAGGTAGATCCTATGTAGCAGTAAAAACAAATGACGGTAGTATCCTGAAATACGGATCACAATTAAATGTTGACCACTTGAGATTGGCACTTGAGAATGATAATTGATATCAACTGATTACTTAAAATTTTCAATTTGGTGTCTAGTATTAGTATGGGCAGATTTTAATCTGGTTTATACAAAAAAATAGGTCACCTCTTTAACCTACAAATTGTGAAAAATTTACCCACTTTGTAAAAATTTAGAGGGGGTGGGCATTTGTATGTGAATAGAAAGAAAACTATAAATGACAGAATTGCTTTTACAATAGGCCTCGGAGAAACTAAAAGAAAAAGTGGGGTCACTGCATGCATACTTTTCTTTTCCCTGTTATAATACAAAAAAAGAGAAATACTAAACATTCCTATATAGAATATACAGGTTCTCAGTTACCTCCCTAATTAAACTCAAGTTTAAACAATTTAACCAATCGAAACATATTCCGAACTTGTGAAAATAGTCGAAATCACAGGCAACTTGTCTCTGAAAAAAAAAATCCTTTATACCTTTATGTAAAAAAAAGGTTTTGTAGGATTTTATTTTCAGGGACAAGTGCCTGTGGTCGAAATAATAAAATAAAACCATCTTGCGTTCTTCACTTTAAATTTAGTCTCGCAACTGAATTGCATTTCTGTTTAAAAATGTGCTTATCAAGTTACATTATGGAGCTAAAAGATGTAATGCATTGCATCCGGATTTTCTCGGCTGTGTTGAAGACCCATTGGTGGCCTTGGGCTTTTTGGTCGGGTTGTTGTCTCTTTGACCTGGGAACAGTATATCTATATATGTTCCTGCTTTGACGCATTCCCCATTTCTATTCTCAATTTAATTTTTAATTAGGGACAAATAGTCACAAAACAACATTCATGATTTTTTTGGCATGTGCGAATGCTTTTGGATCTTGAAGGTGCATTTCGATAAATTCCTTTGAAGAAATCCGCTTAAAGATAAGATATTGGTCTGTCCATTTGCATCTCTGCCCCAGCAACAGTATTTTGAGGTAAACAAAATTTTTTTGGACTAGGTAACATCCTTTCTGTGAAGAGAAAGTTGGGTAAATCGTGTTTGATATAAAAAGAAGATGTGGTATGATTGCCAATGAGACAACTCTCCACAAGAGACCAAATGTCACAGAAATTGACAACTATAGGTCATCGTACGGCCTTCAACTATGAACAAAGCCCATACCGCATATTTAGCTATAAAAGGCCCGAAATGACAAATGTAAAACAATTCAAACGAGAACACTAACGGCCTAATTTATGTACAAAATAATGAAAGAAAAACAAAATGTAACACATCAACAATTAAACGACAACCACTGAATTACAGGCTCCTGACTTGGGACAGGCACATACAGAATTAATGTGGCGGGGTTAAACTAGTTTGAAGGAGCTAACCCTCCCCTAACCTGGGACAGTGGTGCAACAGTACAACATAAGAACAAACTATAAAAATCAGTTGAAAAGGTTCATCAGATTGATACAAATAGAAATACATCTAACAAAAACACAATGTGGACGTGGACGGGTACTTATACATCCCAACAACAAAAAAACACTAAGTACAGATCTGAGAGATTACTCGCAGTTACTGACAGCTAGTTCAAAGCCAATAGCAACTAATAAAAAAAATCTTGCATCAAATACTAAATTATCAATCAGTGCAAATCCAACATCCAATGGATTTAGTGTAAGTAGATATAGGAAGATGTGGTATGAGTGCCAATGAGACAACTCTCCATCCAAATTACAATTTATAAAAGTAAACCATTATAGGTCAAGGTACGGCCTTCAACACGGAGCATTGGCTCACACCGAACAGCAAGCTATATATAAAGGGCCCCAAAAAATTACTAGTGTAAAACCATTCAAACGGAAAAACCAACGGTCTAATCTATATAAAACTGAGAAACGAGAAACATAAACAGTCGGAGAAAAACATGACCTTGTGCAATGCCAAGATACAGGTATCGACAGATTGTAGCGCCATGAATGTGCATATGTATATAAAAATGATATTAAGTTTGATTTTAAGTCCAATACTTGGTTCTTATATGTGTATAAAACATAAAACACATGGGGTATATTATCTCGCTTGATTCAGATTCCATTATTTTATATTTTAAAAATATCATAACATTCAAAATTCACATTTTATTTTCTAGAAAATCAAAATTTTAGGTCAAGTGAAATACCTTTGTAATGGGTAGTGATAACAGAGTTGGAGTACTTTATTAAGAAAATAAACCTTTGCTGATATAATTGTTTAAAATGTAAGTTCACTTCTTTTTCGCGCGATTTTTTTTTTCTTTGACACTACATCGAAGTAAAATGCAGGCATATTTCAACATTATCATCAGTAAAATTTACTATAACAATCTACGTCAGAAGTACAAATACACCATGTACCTTAGACCTTTAACTTTTGGATATTGAAAATGCATAGCTTCTATGTTATTAGTCTTCAGCTTCTGTAAATTTCTAGTCTGCCCGGCCTAGAATTGTCTAAGTGTTTTATTTACCGGTAACATTCCTTAATTCGCCATGGCAACCAAACAGACAATAATTCTAAGAAATATAAAGGCACCAAAATTTCAAATGGTGCTAATTAGTATTATTTGTCTTTCCCATGCAACTTTAATGTAGGGGTCATAATGATGCAATATGAAAAATATAAACGGTTACCGAGAGTTATCGTGACAAGTGTCATCTTTTCAAAGTTAACTGATTTCTTGGTCGAGTGTGGTTGGCGGTGTGGGGCAAATTCAGTAACTAAAACTCCCACAAAGCGATTTAGCTACAGAGATATTTTATAAAGACTACATTATTAAATTCCACACAATTTGCATATCTTTTGAACTGCACATTTTTATAAATTCAAATTTTTTTCTGACTGCAGTTTAAACTATAACATTACAGTACTGCTTTCCCATCTAACATATGATCAAATGACATATATAGTGGGATACTGAGATGCTACACGACATGGTATGCTAGTATGCAAAAAACAAAACAAGTTGTTTTCTTTAAAAAAAGAAATGCAACCGTGAACCTAAATGCCTGTTTGGATTGAAAGATCAGATAATTGTTTTATAAAGATGCATGATTTTACGTCATTTCTTCAACTAACTCCAAACAGGTATTTAGAGTAGAAACAGTTTGAAACCTCAACTTTATACATAAATCAGTTTGTTCAAACAAATCTCACATTTTCACTTCATAACATGTCCTTTTGTAAATTAGCCAAAATATAATAAAGTTGTTAATTTGTTGTTTTTATACGAGTGTGAGATAGACAGAGGGAAGCAGGAATAATTGTGCCAATTCAGTATAGCTCATATCCAGTACGCAATTTAAAAATCATCGTTGAATACGGATATTGATTTTAAGAAAAAATCATTTGTTACAAAGTTGTGCTATTTTTTCTTATGAATACAAACGTTTTTGTATTGTCTAATTTGTTATTATATCGTCCTATTTTGTCGCCTAAAACGCTGTAGGCCTCTGTCAACTAGACACTCTAAATTCGCTTATGAATACAGATTGCCTCGACTTCTTGAAAACAAATTGACGGAATTCCCAGAAACTTGCACTGATTCTTTTTTAGGGTGGACATGAAGTTGTGCACCATCTGCTTCAACTTTAAATCTGATTTTTTTATTTTATTTTTTTTTGCGGGGGAGGGGTCACATACCAAAAACAAAAGAATTGACTATGCCATTTATAACTATATTTTTTGGAGAGAGTAGTCGACACACGTGCTTTGGAAAACTCGCACATTTTCCTATAAAAAATTAACATACTCATCTCTAATTCTATAAAATAATCTGGAATAGATAATATTCCTCTTCCTGTTATTATAATTCTTTGGACAATTGCTAATATTTTCGCAATCACATATCGTTAGTAACTTAAGTATAATATTTTTCTATCCAAACACCGAGGAATATATCAGACTTCATTTTTTTATTTCATAGACCATACGTTCTAAATAAATAGAGATTCATCACCTCAATTCCATAGAATATCACTCAGTGTCTGTGAATCATTTCATATCTATAGAATTATTTTAAGGACTCAAACGCATATTCATTTATGAACTGTTTCGATATGACATATAATTTCTGCATTTAACACACCTAAAAGGTGCCTTTAAATTTCGTCATAAATTCCAGGGTTGACTAGTATTTTGCAATAAGATTAAGTATGGTTTCTTTATATAAAAAAAAAGAAGAAGATGTGGTATGATTATGATTGCCAATGAGACAATTCTCCACAAGAGACCAAATGACACAGAAATTAACAACTATAGGTCACCGTATGTAGATGTAGGAAGATGTGGTATGAGTGCCAATGAGACAACTCTCCACCCAAGTAACAATTTATAAAAGTAAACCATTATAGGTCAAGGTACGGCCTTCAACACGTATGGCCTTTAATTAACAATGAACAAAACCCATACCGCATAGTAAGCTACAAAATGCCCCGAAATGACAAATGTAAAACAATCCAAATATTTTAATAAGTTAAATATTTATCAAAAATGAAATATCTCATATCTGCATATCACACATCTCAACGATTCTTTAAGGTTCAGTTTGTTTTTCTCTAATTTATTTTCTTTTTATTTCAATTTGTATTTTGATAACGATAAAATATATTTTGTTCCAATATTTTAGCAATTAAATAATAAGATTATAATAATTCCGTTTTTTGCTGTTTAAAATAGGAATTTTTTTTAAAAAAAAACTCTTTAATTACTGCATAAACGGACTTTTTTTTAATTTCGCTAAAATGGCTCAGTTTTAAAATCTTAAAAACTCCTAACCATTTCCGGTATTCCGAAAAACTAAAACATCAATTAATATATATGCGTGAACCCCTGAGTCAATGACGCCCACCCCTACATTTTTACCAGTCCACTTTTTTTCACACGTTAAAAATGATATTTTCCTCAAACACTTATA